TCCACTTCTCCCACTCTTTTGGCTTCTAAGGAAAGTAGTTCATTGTGGAGATGGAAACTGTAGGGGAGGGAATTAGGGCTACCAACCCTGTATTGGAAAATCTGTGGCGATTTGGGGGTGGAGGCTGGGCAGGATGAGGTCTGGGGAGGGCAGGGACCTCAACAGGGTATAATTGTATAGAGTCTGCCCGCCATAGTAGCCGTTTCCTCGAGGGGAACTGACCTCTCTTGCCTGGAGATCAGTTGTAATTCTGGGAGCTATCCAGGGCCCACCTGGAGGTTGGTAATCCTAGAGGGAACAGCTGCCACCGGATATCCATGCATCCCCATCACCAGTTTCTACCCCACTCCCACTAAGCTATTGGAGGGCTGTTCCGTTTGCAGCTTAAACAGTCATTGGGCAGATACATCTGATTGCAGTTAATTGGCTTGGATTGACCGTCCGTTTCCGTATCCTTATCTGGTTTTGTAAACGGAAGGAAAATGAGCAGCAAGTAAAATCTCCCCCTTGATTGTGGCTTGCCATATTTCTGGCACTGTGTTAAGCAGCCTGGGGTCACCTGCTTTGCTATTAGAGGAAACAATATCTGTGTTGCTTCCATTTTGGTTATATTTACATAGTCTAACTTCCTGCTCTTAATGTTATTATTTATTTTTTATAAATGATCAAAAATTACAGAATTCACATTTTAGGCATACAAACACTATTAAAGTTATTTTATTTCTAACCAAAATAATAGACATGTGATTAACTGGATTGTGCACACTTGAAAATTCAAAATATGTGATCTTGATTAATATTATATGCTCTTAATATTATATGTACTCTACATGCTATTAGACACATTTCTGCAACCATCCATACGCTGATCTCAGGTATTTTACACCCATGACATTCATCTCACCATTCCTTTCCATAACGTGTTTTATAATCTGCTGTTGCTGCCCAAACTTTTTGTATGTGTGTAATCCTGACCCATGTTACTGGTTCACAAGTTCCTATTTATGCAGCAATTGAAGACTACAAAACCCATGATGCAATGTGCATATGTACATGGGGCCTATCCAACATTAAATGTAGGCAACATGATAGAGCAAAATAGGACTAGTTAAAATCCCGAATGCGTACCTCTGATTTAAAGGTGGCAGATTTTATAGTGGGAATCCTGCTGGGGCTTCAGTTGTGTCATTTCCCCCCCTGCACAGCTCTTACACAGCAAGCTGGGGGTGAGTCAGAATATATTTATAGGCCCACATGACTCTAAAGGGTCAATTGATTTTTACATGGTGAAGTCAACATCAGTGAACTGCTGAGCCACTCTGCCAAATGCTCCAACACATGCTTAGACTGTGACTCAAAGACGACCTGGCACAATGCACATTAACAGGCTTTTTCAAGATGTAGATGACGAATTGTGATCTAGACATGTGCTAGAGCTTCTCCAGACTGGTGCAGCCATGCCACTGTTGGAAGATTAGTTTACCACGTAAAAGAAGAATCTGTAAATAATGATTTCCATTAAGTAATCGTGTCCCACAATAGTACAGATATTGTTTTGCAGACAGCCTTTTATATATTGTTTTTAGGGCTGCTGCCCCGTTAAAGCAACCAGAGCTGATTAATCATACATATTTTAGTTGACTAACGGTTTACCAAATGGAATAAATCTGCAAAAAGCTATGCAGCTTTTTATTACTGTTGCTATTTCAAGACGAGAGTAAGGGGAGGGGTCCCCCCCTTCATAATATTGCTCTGGGGGGGAAAGTAGCATGGTATATAGCCTGATCTTGTCAGATCTCGGAAGCTAAGCAGGGTTGGTACTTAGAAGGGAGACCACCAAGGAAGACTCTGCAGAGAAAGGCAATGGCAAACTGCCTCTGCTTCTCACTTAGTTTGAAAGCATCTTGCTGCGGTCACCATAAATCAGCTGCAACTTGACGGCACTTTACACATACACAGTATTGTTTCATATTGGTTTATGCTTAAGACCCTGAGAGTCTTAGGGCCAAAGAGTGGGGCAGGAGTTTATCAAATAAAAAGGTAAACAGGGGATCAAAGTACTCAATTTGATCAGACTGATAACAGAAGCATTTTTGGATTTGGCTGGAGAGCTGGTTTCTGAATGAGGACAAATGCCCAATTCCATTGCACATCAATCTGAGATCCATGAGGGGAAAGGGTGGGTTATAAATGCTATCTTGTGCAGACAACTCTTCCCCATTTTGGGATTTTTGTTTAAAAAACCCTTTTTAAGATTTGAGATTTTTCTGCAAACCTGGGTAACCCCCCAAGATTTGTGGAAAGATCTATGTACATGGCCTCAATCTGTGGATATACCAATCCACATCTAGGACCACATTCAGAATCACACATAGTGATAAAGTGAATGAAATGTAGTGCTCAGCTCACCAACAGAAGTTCAATGTCATGAACCATTTCTTGTTCTGGGAAAAACATCACCCCACCATTTTTCATTTGTCTAACTCATGGTCATCATGGTCTTCAGCTCATGGGTCAGATCTTGTGGGTGACACACCCCTCCAGCTGGGTTGTAAGCCCTTACAGAGTTGCCTTTTTTTTTTTTTTGCAGTTTTTGGAGAGACATGCTGCATGGAGACCCAGGGTGCCCCTGCTTCCTGCCTCTCTTTGCACGAATGCTGAGAAAAGCAGCAGAACAGCAAGGTGAGGTTACTCAGAAGTGGGGAAGATTCCTCCATGACCGGAACCCTTGACTTGTTCCTCACTATATATCCCTGGGTCCCCCACTTCCTATCACATGGTCTCAATCTGCGGATACATGTCACATAATTTGCTGTCCCGGGTTTGCAGCTCAGCGTGTCCTCAGTCAACCAAGGTAGAAGCCCACGGCTTTAAAGCCACACATGAGAATAAAATTGCGCCTTTTGAGCAAAATCCAGTGTTCCCTCTAAGCTGAGTTAGTGTGAGCTAGGTCACATTTTTTTAGCCTCCAGCTCACACATTTTGGTCTTAGCTCAGGAAGGGATGGCTCCAGAGCAAACTAATTTATGCAGCAGCCAAATCACTCGCTCACCACTTTAATGCCAGGAGCTCACGAAGTAGAATTTTTCCTCACAAGACTCCACAGCTTAGAGGGGGCATCGCCAGTCCATTTCCCTCTCTTCTCAGACAGACAGCGCAAGCCAATCCACTTAAATCCAGTTAGCAGATTTAAGAAGAAAAATTTCCTCCAAACGTTGCCAGGGCAGCGGAAAAAAACTCTTTGAAACCACAGCCTTGCTCTCCCAGACAACACACAGCTGCAAATCAGAGAACCCTTACATTCCTGGGTGAAAGAGACTCACCAATGATCCAGCTTCAGAAGAAAAGGAAGCTCTAGAAAAACCATCAAGAGAAATGCACTCAGCTTATATACAGTAACAGACATACTGCCCTCGAGGTTTTCTATGCTCTTGGAAACCAATCATCCTTGGTTAGAACAAGATATAAAGGGGTAGGGGATCACATTGGTTGTTCATGGATAAAGCAGGTGTGGGGGGGTTAATTTTTATATCAAAAAGGACACATGAAGCAGCACTGGAGGAATGATGCCAAGCTAAGTATGGGGAGGTAAGTTAGGGAAGGGATCTGCTCCCGCATCCCTCCGTGTCTATTTTTATATAAAAATCAGAGCCCCTCTTTACAAAGGGGGCAGACGCACGAACTAGGAACAGGGTTACCCCCATGCATTGGCAGCCAGAAAAAAAAGATGCATTTTGAGAACTTTAGACGTTAAAGATAAGAGATGCATGTTCTAATTACATGTGTACACGAAAACGCTTAACTCAGATGTACTCAGTTATTCTCCAAACTTAGGACCAAACAACGAGAGACAATTTTTACCGGGTAGCTTTCCTCGCGGGCTGTGGGGAATGCCATTTTTAAAGCCTGCAGGGGCCAGGTTTGGCTTGGGACCATGGTGTGTGGGGAGGAGGGGCTCCTGCCACCCACACACACCATTTTCCCTAGCCAGAGTGGCCCTCGTCAGGAGATATTTCCATAACTTTGCAGCTGCACGTGCACAGAATACTCCAGTACACCTGGACGCAATTCATTAAAAAAAAGAAAATCTTGCATAGCTGAGCCTCAATACAACCGTTGACTCTGTTTTCAATAAAAGGGAACGAGCCCCTGCATTCGAACCCCTACATGTAGCTGAGGTCTGAGTTGTTAAACCCAGCTTGCTCATAGGGAGGTGGGGCTCTAATGAGGTTTCACTCTCACATGTAGAGGCAGAGTGGCCCAGTGGACACCGAATGGGACATGAACCGAAATTCAAGTTAAGCAGCTGCAGGGCTATTTTTGGGCAGGAACGCACAGGAACGGAGTTCCGGCTGGCTCCCGAGTTGACCGCGCCCAGCAGGAACTCATTAGCATAATAGGCCACCCCCAACAGCAGAAACTCATTAGGATTGGCTACGTTAGGGGTATGTGGCCTAACGTGCAAAGAAGTTCCTGCTACAAAAAAAGTTCTGGGTTATGACAAAAAACAAGGTAAACAGAATAAGAAGCAAAAGGTTGGTGTGGCTGGATGACAACACTTCTGGTAACATGTGGGTGCAGCCTAATATGCTAATGAGCGGTGCTGTCAGAGGTGTGGCCCAATATGCTAATGAGTGTCTGCTATTGGGTGTGGCCTATTATGCTAATGAGTTCCTGCTGGGCCTTTTCTACAAAAAAAGCCCTGAGCAGCTGTACCACCTGGGATTAGCTGTCAGGTCATACCCATATGCTATTGTTTTTTTGCACATCGCTGAGTTTTGTTCCTGGAAAAACGCCACTCATTTCTAATATGCTGCTAAATTTCCTTTTTAAAAAAAGGATTAAAGGGTTTTTTAAAAAGGATACCGGAGATTCTCTACAGTAGCATTTTCACCAGGAGAAAACCCAACAGAGGGCTTAATACCCTACCCATCAGGCAGAGGTAGCCAAGAGCAAATGCACCCTAAGCTCCAGCAACTAGCTCAAGAGACTGCTGGTACCTTCGCATGTTTTCCCATCATCTTTCAGTCTTGACCCTGCAGGGCACTTGCAGTAGAAGCTACCAATGGTGTTGCAGCACTGGGATTCGCAGCCTCCATTACTGGCTTCGCACTCATTCTCATCTGCAAGGGAAGAAAAATGAGACGCCTGTAGAAGATATGACATTTAACACTGGAGCAAAATTAGGCCCGATCTGCCCCTGCAGCAGAAGGAGCTGGTAGACTCCCGAGGTTGTGAAGTGCAGTTGAATGTTCTACACTTAAAAAAAAATCTCTGCAACCAAAAGGGTAGCATATCAGGGAAAGTGTCTTGCTCAGCTTACTTCCCGTTCTGCTATGTTTCTTCTCACAGGGAACTTTTCACAAGATCGCATATTTCCCTTGTGCAGTGTTTTATCAGTCTCGGTCTGATTAGTAATTGTGTGTACAATTGCATTAAGATTCTTATCTGAGCTGTTTGCCTCAAAGTCATCCACTCGACATACCACGCAAAAGAATCTCGGTGCTGTTTTGCCAAACAGGCAAGTACACATTGTTAATATGTGCGGGGGGAGATGCAAATGAGCTGAAGGAACTGAAAGTTGAACATGCTCCAGTTCCAAAATGTGAGAGCATTAGGGATTTCCCGAGTTATCATGCAATGGAGAAGGAGCAGAACACACCGCGGCCCAAAGCCAAATTCCAGAAAAACAGAGGGACAGAAAGGGGGAGAGCCCTCCATCCCAACTTCCAAGTTTCACTGCTGCTAAGGAGCAGTCCTTTTTGGTACTAGTAACGCTTCATTCTGAAAGGCAACCTCTGCACAAATGTTTCCTTGGCAGTTCTACTGCTGTATTTTTCACTCCATATGATTGTATTACACAGGGGCCATTTCGTAGAAAAAGAGCCAGGGGAACTCATTAGCATAACTCATTAGCATATGCCACAGCATATGTCACTGAAAGTGTGTCATAAGGCCACACCCCCTGACATCACCAGAGGTGTGTCATAAGACCACACACCCCGCCGCCGGCGGCCTTGCAGCTCCACTGCCGAGCTCCATGAGGGGCCCAGCGGTGGACCTGCAAGGCCGGCGGGAGTGCAAGGAAGCCCCGCGAAGGCCCTCCCTGGCCCCAGGCAGGCAGGGGTGGGGAGAGGCAGGGAGGAAGCACCTTACCCTCCCTCTTCTCCTGCCTCCTCCTGGCTGAATGAGGGCCGGAAGCGGGGCGGCCGGAAGCAGGGGGCGGGGCTTCGTCATGTGCCCCACCCCCCGTACCTCACCCCGGGGAACTGCGATCCCCCCCGATCCCCCCCGAAATGACCTCTGGTATTACACCAGACTTCTTTGAGAACTGATATTACTGGTCTCCGTGTGCTTTTATTGGTGCTGATTTCTGACATTTTTTCCATGGTATTGATTGTTTTTATGGGGTTGGTTTTATGATAACTTAATGATTCACCTTTAAAATTTTTGCGCTGTAAACTTTCTCGGGCACATCTACTGGAAAAAGGAGATTAAAAACATTTTAACTGAATATTTCTTGTTTTACTCAGCTCTCGTTACTTATTTTTGCTTGGTGACCTTTTTTTTTTTTGGCATGGTCGAAAAGCGATACAGAAATTTTCCAGATAAAAATATGATTTTGTGACCGTTGCTTTACCGGGAAGACGCCAGAGCCCCTCGCCAAGCGCTGGCAGAGGCTAAGCTCAGATCAAAAGCCTCAGAACGAAGCAACAAGCGTTACATTCGGCTCCGTTGATTCTTCAATCTGCGCTGTCACAGGCCGCTTGAGGAGAGAGGAGAGATCAGAAGTGGTTGACAAGAAGTCTGGCCTCCAGCCCCAGGGCTGCCACAACATACAGCGTTCCAGACTACTTCAGTTGTCAAAATATGCCCGGGAGGGGGAGGAGATGGATGTGCACACCCGGCAGGCTCTCAAGACGTTATGAGCCCTGACGGGCCGGAATGAACTCCCTGCAGCAGACGTGGGAGTGCGCGAGGAGCAACTGCAAGCCCTCGGTTCAGGTGTCCAACGGGAGGCCTCCCTGGCCATGAAATGCGATATAGCGGATGGCATGATAAAAAGTAGAGACATCACCCTGCCAACAAAAGTCCGCATGGTCAAAGCAATGGTATTCCCAGTAGTCATGTATGGCTGCGAGAGTTGGACTAGAAGGAAGGCCGAGCGCCGAAGAATAGAATCTTTTGAACTATGGTGCTGGAGAAGACTCTTGAGAGTCCCCTGGACTGCAAGGAGATCAAATCAGTCAATCCTAAAAGAAATCAACCCTGAGTGTTCCCTGGAAGGCCAGATAATGAAACTGAAGCTCAAATACTTTGGCCACCAAATGAGAAGGGAGCACTCACTGGAGAAGACCCTGATGCTGGGAAAGACTGAAGGTCAAAGAAGACGGGGACGGCAAAGGATGAGATGGTTAGACAGTGTCACGGATGCAACGAACATGAAACTGAGCAAACTTCAGAGGACGGCGGAAAACAGGAGGGCCTGGCGTGACCTGGTCCATGGGGTCGCGAAGAGTCGGACTCGACTGTGCGACTGAACAACAAAAGATGGCTCCAGAAACTGCTACCAAGAAAACCTCAGTAGCCAACATATCTTTACAACCCCCGGGAGAGCATTACACTCTGCACAGAACAACTTGCTGGTGGGCCCCGGCCCTAGAGACCTCCGGCTGTCCTCAACCAGGGCGAGGGCCTCCTCTGCCCTGGCCCTGACCTGGTGGAACGTTCCGCGCCAAATAACATCGGGGCCCTGCGGGAACTTGTGCAATTCTGCAGGGCCTGTAAGGCAGAGATGTTCCACCAGGTGCTCCATTGAGGACAGGGACGGCTTGCATCACGGCTTGCATCATGGCTGGCACTAGGGTTACCAGGTCCCTGCATGATGGAGTGAGCTCCCATCTACAGTTCCAGCTCCTGCCATCCTAGCAGTTCGAAAGCAAGAAATTGCAAGTAGATAAATAGGTACCACTTCGGTGGGAAGGTAACAGCATTCCGTGCGCCTTGGTGTATAGTCATGCCGGCCACATGACCATGGAAACGTCTTCGGACAGCGCTGGCTCTTCGGCTTTGAAACAGAGATGAGCACCGCAACCCTAGAGTCGGCCTCGACTGGCTTTCGAGCAAGGGAACCTTTACCTTTTTTAACATGGTATCCAGCGAACCTTTACCTTTTTTACATGGCATCCAGCGGGGGTTGGAAGCTCTGTGTCCACGCTGCGATGACATCACCCAGAAGTAATGTCACTGCGCTAGGCATGCTGTCGAGAGACACTCTAGTGTTCAGCTGTAAAACTCTATGGTACCATAGAGTTTTAATGCTGAACACTAGAGCGTCCCCTGATGGACATGCCCGGCACAATTGTGCCAGGCACATCGGCCTGATTCTGACACCTTGGGGGCGGGGTTCCCCCAGGCTGGTGGGTTGGGGGCCCCTAGAGTGGGCAAACCCCCACCCCCTCAAGGGACCTGGCAACCCTAGCTGCCACCCTTCCTAGACTGTCCCCTGAAGGATTTAATTCCTCCCCCCCCCCATACCCATGAGGCACCACAGACCAGAAATGGGATAAGAACCTTACAATCTCACCACTTGGTTGTAATTAAGGAATTATTTGTGCTGATAATGGGTTTTTATGGTTTTTGTTGTTTTAACTCTGCACATTGCCCAGAGCCCCACAATTGTGGGGATTAGGCAATTCAAAAATGTAAATAAGTAAGTAAATAAATAGTACCTTTTTATCCCCACCCGTCCACCAAGCAGCTCCAGGAGGCCCAGCTCATTCTCCCACCCCCTTCCATTTCATCCTCAAAACAACCGTGTGAGGTAGGTCAGGCTGCGAGAGGATTGCCAACTTCCAGGTGGGTGCTGGAGAGCCCCCCCAGAACTACAACTGAACTGATCTCCAGACTACAGAGAAAATTACTGCTTTGGAGGGTAGACTCTACGGCATTATACCTGGCTGAGGTCCCTCTGTTGTTCCCCAGGTTCCACCCCCAAATCGGCAGGAATTTCCCAACCCAGAGAGAATTATTGGCCCAAGATCATTCAGCAAGCTCAGGGGTCGTTTCGTAGAAAAAGAGCTAGGGGAACTCATTAGCATAACTCATTAGCATATGCCACACCCCCTGACATCACCGGAAGTGTGTCATAAGGCCACACACCCCGCCCCCAACGGTCCCGGCCACCGCCGGCCTTGCAGCTCCACGGCCGCCAAGCCCCATGAGGGGCCTGGTGATGGACTTGCAAGGCCGGCGGGAGTGCAAGGAAGCCCCGCGAAGGCCCTCCCTGGCCCCAGGCAGGGGTGGGGAGAGGCAGGGAGGAAGCAACTTACCCTCCCTCTTCTCCTGCCTCCTCCTGGCT